ATGGCACTCGAGTAAAGTAGGGCATGCCGTTGTATCATGAAAAAGTGGCTGTTAATGACAAATTCAAAAAAGTTCAAGACAAAAACAACTGGACGTCATTTTTATACTTTATACTTTGTTTTTGTCTTGAATTTTTATTTTATTTACCATGTCTTGGATGACTGAGAATCTTCACCAGCTATTAATGACACAATCAGCTTGCCATAGTTGGCCACCTTCATTCTGCTCAATGCTTGGAGCTACCGTCAAATCTCCTTAATTTTGTTGCACCACCCCAGCAAACTGCAGCTAATTTGACCATTAAAAGTTAAACTAACACACACCTTTGCTATAATTTTGAGCAAACAAATAATTGCTTTAGGTGGTTATCTTGTTAATTTTCCTTTGTTCCTCCCTGTCTGCGTGCTCCCGGGAGCACAGAGGCAGCGAATACTTTTAAAATACAGCTGATTTGACCATTAAAATCATTTTATTAAGCAAATGTTAGACTGAGACACATCTTTACTATAATGCTGAGCAAACAAATAATTGCTTTTAGGTGTTTATTTTGTTACACTTCTAAGAAACGTATAGTGACTCGTCCCTCAGCGCATTCCTACTTCCACGTATCAGCTTTTGAAATACAGCTGTTTTGACCATCAAATAGATTTACAGGATTAAAATGGTTTTAAAGAACTCACTAACATTTAGGCTGACCCTCAATTAATAGCTTCTTCCTCTTTCTACACACTTTCTCTACGACAGATGTCATGGTTGGTACGGTAATAATTAATGAACATAATCTGACAGAACATTACCATAAAATGTCCAAACCGTCCCTTTACTATAAATTTAAACACTAAACTTCAAACTTATATTAACTTTAGAGACAATTATTTTAAAGTGTAGCAGATGCAAACTTTTCACATTAAGAGTGGCATAAAAACGCTTCTGTAGACAAAGCTGTTTTTTAATGACTGTCAGGTCTTAACTGCACTCTATTCACCTGAGTCATAGAAAGTAGATTAAATGTGGATAAACGCACCCATCACATTTTCAGCAGACGTATGACTCACTTTTTGCTTTAAAATATAAAGGAAAATCCACAATTAAACGGAAGTGTTATTGAATTGAAGCAGTGTGAATGGTACATGACCCCTGTTACTATGAAACTGACTACTAAAATATTAAAACGTTAAAAATCTGTGTTGACACACACACAAAACACTTACTGTGCAGTGAAGATAACATATTAATATTTAAAGGCTTAACTCAGTGGAAACTTTTGTATTTGTTCCACAAAACATTTTGAATATGGCTGAATCTTGTGCAATTTTCCTAACCCAACATCCGTAGTAGTTATGTTGTGACATGCTAAGATAAAACAAGTTTTAAATGTTATCTTTCAGGCACCCCAGGAGATCCGATCTCTGTCTACAATTATACAAAAAGTAAGGCCTTTTATTACTCTTGTAGAAAGCAGCTTCTAATTTTCAGGCTCTATTATGCACTCTTGACTCCATAGGAAATCAACGCTGAATTAATCAAATCAATTAGAACAGAGGCGCAGAGTGCACTCTCGCAATGAAAACGAGAGAGCTGGCTCATAACCATGTGAGCAGATGCTCCACTGTTGTTTACAGATGTCTTGTTTATTCCTGCATTGAGATTTCCAGTGTGTGTCATCTGTCTTACTGAATCATAGCAAGAATTTTAGCCATCTTTGCATATTTTGGCTTTCTGTGCATCACACTGCTAATCGCTCTGACACGGAGGCTGTGAATGACAGTCTGACAATGGCTGCTCAAAATCCAACAACATCCTGTAGTTGTGTTTCCAAACATAATCACTGCTCATTGTTTGGGGCATTCAGGTCCATGGGAAAGTCACTTCCAATTAAATGGGATGAAAATGTAAATAAAAACCTGCCAATTTTCCACAAATTTATTTCAGCTTATCTCACAACAGTTGGGCAATCTCCTCATGCAGACTTTTTTTGTTTAAATGTATTGGAGTTTATGGTAAGATCAACTAAATTGTGTGAAACTAGTATTTGCAAGGGGGAAAAAAAAACCCTACATTGAACGTTAATTTGGGCTGATCCTTGCAGATGTCTTTGCACAATGTCATACTTTAAGTGTGAATAAATGGAATAAGACTTGGTGTTTTGTGACCATGATATGGATTGTGGTTGAATAATAAGGCATGGGAATTGTACTTAAAAAATATCATTTTGCATACAAAAATTTGACTGCTTAAAGAAAACGTTGGGTGTGTAAAACTAATCCCATTACGAAATACAGAACAGGAAACACAGAACAGGCTTGAAAACAATGAAACACACACATTGAAAGCAGTCACATCTGTTATCTAAACCAGGTGCAGCATCTTTAAGAAAATATGAATACTTTAAAAAGGACACTGGGAGAAACAACATGCTTGGTAAGTGATTTCAAACTGATGGATTTCCGTGGGTTCTGCAGGCTTACAGATGCTAGGAACATCATGAGTCACAAGAAAAATAGGGGCTTGCGAAGCTTGTGTACTTGATGCGGTGATGTTCCAGCATTATGAGGCAGGATTTGACTTACTCTCTTTGCACACGAGGTATTTCTTAAGAAAAAAGAAAAGAAATAAGAAAAAGAAATAGGAGAGCTCAGGGGACAAAACTTGTCTAAATGTGCATGTTGTCTTCCTAATGCGTTTGTTTGACTCCTGCCACAAGTGACCACTTCTCAAACCAGTCACTTATAGTGTGTGCTCTTTAAAAAGCTGTGTTCAAACAGGACCACCTGCATCAGATATGTAATGTACTGGAAAATGCACAGCAAATAAAAAAAGGAACATTTACCTTTTAAAGGAGGTTTGAGAAATGGTCGCAAGCTGTTTCTGAAATCCAATATTGTCCATTTCTGCCGCTGTTTTAAAACTCTTTGTGAGTAGATGACAGTTTCTCAGTCAGAGAACTGCCAGTTAATAGATGTTAGATTTAATAATTGCTAGATTTTAAAATATAATTTTGTAGCGACCGCAAAAGCTTTCAGAAACAGCTAAAAATGGCAGACATTTAAGTGACACCATTTCTATCCGTCTCAGTTGTTCAACATCTGCAATTTCTCACTTTACTGACGGGCATTCATATTGTTATGACAAAAATAAAATAAAACTAAATAAAGCATGTAGCCATTCCCGCAAACAGGGACTGAGACATATAAAAGTGTACTGTATATACAAACACAGTCTAACCCTGTATTTAGTCATAATGTTGCCATTTCTTTAAAGATAATTTTTTTTAAATAAAACTGCTTATCTTGAAGGACTCTTTTCACCATTTCAGACCCATAAATGTGTCTTTTTCTTCCATAATTCAGTCAACAGTAAAAGAAAAAAAATATATATAAAGAAAATAACACACATTAGTGCAAAATTTGTGCGATTTATATAAACTTTATGTTTGGGGTGGTCCCAGCAGCAGCAGTTTGGGAAGTCCCAAGGAGCCACTGGGTTTTTAGAACATGTGTCTGTTCATCAATATCTTCACTGAAGAAAAATGTCAAAAGAGACAATTAGAGACAACTCCTTGCCTCTGTTTTTCCACCAACATGTCCTTGTGTGTTTTTTATCATTTTGACTGACAGAGGTGACTAACTGTTTGTGTCCATTTGTCCAATTTTTGTCAGCCTTCCAGTCTGTCTGCTCATCTGTTGATCTATTTCCGAACTTGTGGCCGGCGAGTACACTGTAGACAAAAAATCGGTCATCTCTTGGCCGGTAGTCCAAACCAGAGCTACAAGAGGACAAATCATTTCCTGGATTTGGGCACAGTTGATTGCAGCAGTTGACATTCCTGACAGCTTATTGCCTCGAGGCTTCCACTTGTTAAGCCACCAAGAACAGAATTGTGGCTAGTCAGGGGACAAGAATCTTTGATTGTGTTTGACAAGGCTCTGGAAACCAGTCAATAGTTTGCAAATACAGAAGAATGCAAATGACTAGTTTTGTAGCTCAACACAGTCTGCTTTCTGTTACTATGGAATACTTTATAGGACTGATTGTTGGGTTCTTCTAATGTTTAATAAAAGGTAATTAAAAACTCAAACAGAAACACAGCTAACAGATAAAGCTTGGTTTGCAATGTTTTAGTCTGTTTCACTGAAATATTTTGTGGGTTGTCATAAAAAAACAAAATAGTGGCAGAAGGGAATGAAAAGTACAAGAACTTTTTTTAGAAACTTAATAACTAAACCAATTTTGCGATTGTCCTGCTACTCACCAAGCACTTTACGTAGAGTAAAATGTGAAAAACTCTTCTTCTACTTCCATTTGACTCTGGCATGTTTAACATTATTTCATGACCGTATGTATGTTCTTTAAAGGAGCTGGTGCAGCGGATTTTATCTCTGCATTGACTGCATTTGACCTTCAGCTCTATCTTTAACTAAGTCTTCAAATAACTGAACATCCAGCGTTAGTTTCTGCAAAAGCAGAATATGTAAAATGTCATTGTTTCTCAAAGTTTAGTCTGGTCAGATCCAAAGTGATGAAAGGCCAGTGGTAGAAATTTGGTCCAGCACCAGTGATGCTTCATAGAACCATACAATGTCTTGAAGGATCTCAAAGGTAGAGTGGTCCTAGATCTTCCCCAGAGGGGGTAAAAACAATGCCATATTGGTTAGACCTATTGCACATCAGTCCTGCAGTATGAAGGATTAGGAAATCCATACCATTGTCTAAATTTGGTAAGGCATGGACTTAAATTGGGATAAACTACTGTTTGGTTGCAGAAAGTAGAGAGCCATACTAGTTAGAGCCTTCTTGATGAAAAATCTAATGTCAAATCATTTTAGATGTTGACTTAAACCTGTGGGAGTTCATCTGGTTAAAAATATCAATTTGTGTTTCTCCTTGATTGAACAGAGCTTATGAACTGCTCCAGTCTTAGTATCAATCTCCTAAAAAAGTGTTATTTGATAATGTCATTGTCAACTTCTTTGTTAATTGGTTTCACCTATCCATTTCTGTTTTTCCCCTCAAAAATGAGGTGAATAATACTGTCGTATTAGAAGGATGTGGAGAAAGAGCTGTGAATAGTATGCTGACAGGAGCCCAGCATGTTACACAAAGGCTGCTCATGGTGAAAAGTCCAAATCTTACGTCTGTTTGTTCTCCTCATTTGGTTCCCCCACGCTGCAGGGTGCAGCACGGTGGTTGAACTGTTTTATAGGTAGTGGCAGATTTGTTGCATTACACCACAGTGCAGACTGTGTTCAGAGTTGTATCGAATCGAACTGCCTTAGCCTCCGTGGGCTTCATGTTGGTGTCGTACATTGGATTTTCAAATGACGCCTGACCGTTGGAGCTCTCATGGCCAACATAGCCATTGAACTGGACCTTTGGGCGTGTCCTGAAAATAAAGAGAAGCAATACAGTATTAAGGGCACTGTAACATCAAAAAGTGACAGCTAAAAAAAACAAAAGCATAATCTGTGTACACAATTTCTTTCCATCACATGTACCACATGTGGTACGAATGACAAATAAAGAAACTCTGACACAGACTCTGATAATCATAAATTGTTAAATTACTAGATGCACATTTCTAAAAAGTAAAGTTTCTTCTTCAATATTTTGTTTTAATATTTAGAAACTTAAAAAAAAAAATGTGCACACTCCAAGAAAATAAACAGGGTTTGCCATTTTGTACATTTGTCAATGCTGCTTTTTTTCCAGTCACTGACAAACGCTTCTTTGTTGCTTATAATAGTAGATGAGTACAAGTTGAGTTGATCTTTAAGAGTAAATAAAGAAATATATTTATTTGTAATTAGATTTTTTATTTTTTATTTGTTTGATTATAAAGAGGAAAAACAAGTCATAAATGACTGGCATACAAGAAAAACAGATTATGCTTTGATTAAATGAAACCAAGAAATGATAGAAGCAATGTTTGCAAACAAACAAACAAAGAAATATCTGTTTATCATTTAAAATTTGCAGATATCTCAAGAAATGCAATAGACACAAAATGAAAAATTTCTGTAGAACCGGATCATTTGACAGGAGGAATGAGGGAGAATAAACAAAAATGAAGTAAAACTTTTCTTACTAATTTGATTAAATTATATATAATTATTATTTAACATTATTTTATTATTATATATTACTTTTCTTGCTAACCATACATTTTTAAAGTGTGTTTTTTTTTTTTTTTGGGGGGGGTGGGGGGGTGTCTGGGTTCTGTTTATTGCATTTATGATTCCATGCAACAAAATAAACAAATTTCAAAGGTAACAGATCATTGTAATACTTGGTTTATTTACATAGTGACTTAATTGCTGGATGTCCGGCCCCTGAGCTGCTGGATTTCAGTAACTGTGGCCCCCTGAGCAGTTTAGTGTTTAGTTGAATAGCCCTGCTTTAGAGAGTGGAATACAGTTTATTTCATTTCCAAAACCTAAACTGAGTCTGGAAAAATGTAAATGAAGGATAAAGTGCTATGGTAAACCTCATGTGTAATGTAAAGCAGAGAGCTAGGCTAGTATCTTAGCTAGCACATCTGTATTGCACACTGTTAGCTTAGCACTACTTCTTGTTGTACTGTGATTTCTAAAATAGTTATTGAATCGTGTTTACTTATAGGTAAATGTAGAAGTTTAACAACCCGTTAAAATACACCAGAATGAAGGAAATGGCATCTACTTTATTCAAAAATATCTGGGGGAGGACCCCGAGACCAACCTCCCACCATAAGTGTGCCCCCCCCCCCCCCCCCCACACACACACACCCAATACACACTCACAAATGTTATCAATGCTTCTGACGCAAATGGCCAACAGGTTGTTTAAGCTAAGAGTCATTGTCAGCGCTGGGGGGCTAAGCACCCCTAAAGGTCAGATTCTAGAATCGCCCCTGCTGAGCAAAATATATTTAAAGATGAAGAGATGATATAGTTTAGGCACAATTAGACAGCATAATTTATCCCATAACCAGTCACGCCTGAGAAAAATAATGACATAAGTGTGAAATAACTTATAGCTTTCTAACACATACCCTGACCAAATAATTACTGTAAATAATATTATCATCAAGTCAACATGTTAATTGTCTCAGATGAGCACATTCTTAGTAAAATATGATCCAGATTAAGAAAATGCAAGTAGTGAAAACTAGTTTAGTTAATAACTTAATGTTTATTGGTGTAACAGGAGTGTATCTGTATGAAGTCTGATGCTATTGATGGCTGTATTTCCATGATGTGTTTATTTATGACCAGTTAGTGTGCCTGGATGAAGACATTTGATATATTTGATGATTTATATTGATGCATTGTGAAATCTGACTACCCCTTCATTATTTGTCTGTTTGAAGGAGATTACATTTTTGGATAATCAAGGCCTATAATCCAGTTAGATCTAATCACTTACTCTCAAACCCTGTGGAATTATTAGCAGGGAGGAGTGCTGCTGCTGTTTGATTCTGACCTCATTAAGAGTGCATGTACGTGTATGTGTGTGTGTGAGAGCGCATTGGTAAAAATCCTGCCCTGGGGAACCACTAAGCCTAGCCTACATGTTCAACCCATTACTTTACAAAAGTGCACACATCAACACACCCTGCAGACCTCCCTGCATGGCAGTAGCTTAAATCACCGCACTGGTGGTGGCTGTTGGTGCAAAAAGTTTCATTTTATTGGGAGAATGAAAAATGGTACACATAATTGCTTTGACAGTATTATAGATACTCTACAGACAAATGGGCCATGACAGGAAAAACTGCAGTGTGCACGCACACACACACACACCTCCACCCCCCCCACCCCCATACACACACACCTATTTTCTCATTTAAGCTACTACTTTACATTGACATGTGCAGAAATATTTTTTAAGACTGGTGGATGTCATTGTGTTAGTCTAGAAGCCTGTAGAATTTGTCATTATAAAATTCTACTGTAATTACTGAATAAAGTATTGTCACATATAGAAAACAGTCTGATATAGCTTTTTCAAACCAACAACTTTTAAAGATAAGATTGTAACTTGCGTCAATCGAGCATTTTGCAGTTGGCCAAGATGTTTTCTTGATGACATCATGCTGACAGAGAGATGACAATGAGATCAAAGACAAAAAAAATGCTCTTATACAGTTTTAAATGTCTGCTGTCTGGACAGAGCAGGGCTGCACTAATTTAATTATATATATATATATATATATATATATATATATATATATAATTTTTTTATTATTTTTTTTTTAGGAAAATTTTCACCCAATTGCATTGAACTCGTATAAGAAGTTCCCATGAAATAGTAAGTATTAGGGTACTTGATTTTAAAACAGGCGTCTTATAACATTTAAGTGATAAATCCATCTGAAGACATTTTTCTTTCCATTTTCATCAGTCAATTGTGCAGCCTTACTAAACAGCATAAATAACAGCTTCAAAAATCAACAAAAAACAAGAGATGAGGAATTTGACGAAGGGTGTGGCGGCGGGCGGCGGTCTGGTTGCTGTTGCAACCAGATGGATGACAGGTGGCAGTCTTACCTGCCGCCAGGCCCCCAGGTGTTTTTTGGTCTCTCATTGTCATCTGTGTCAGCAGACAATGTCCTGCATACAACCATCAGCTTTAATGCATTTCAACTGGGATTGCATACTTCTAATGGCAACCAGAGAGAAAAACATTGTAATGTGTTTGGTAATAAAAGGCTTAATAAAGCAATATTGCAAAAATACTGCAGAAGTTTTTATTTTCTAATGCAAGCCTACATGTCTCTGCTCAAAATCTATTATACCCTCTTGAAGGTAGGGTGTATACAAGACTGTAGCTAACTGCATTACTGTGGATGTTTTTTATTAACATGTAAATGTTTAAACACAAGACCTGGTGCACAAAGACATTTCTAGCCTAAAGTCTCTATAAATGACAAGGTAACAAATGGATGTGTGCACATTCTTTAATGAAGCACATCACTTTGAAATACATTTATCATATTTTCTGCTGTACCCGTCACAGTGCCCTTTAAGTCGCATCAGTCCAAATATGCCTAATAAAGTGGAAAAATCCATAAATATGTTGCTTTGCCATATACGTCGCATCTATTATGCGTCACCGCTGATGCATCGCGTTTGTTGTGCGTCACCGCTGACAAAACAGAAATGTGGGCTGGTGTTGTGCCAAAAATCGATTGGCTGCCAAATGGCGGCCACAGGAGTTTGCACGGGAGGACTTTAACAAGAATTTAACAAGATTAACACTATGGCAAGCTGATTGTGTCATTAATAGCCACTTTTACCTATTACATGGCACAACGGCATGTCATACTGCTCGACTGCCACCTAGTGGCTTAAAATGGAGGTGTTCAATATTTTCAGTCAGAATGAATGAAAACAGTCAAATCTCGGCCAAAAATTGGTTTATAAATATGAGGAAAAAAATCCATAAGAATATCGCTTTTGCATATAAGTCGCATGGCATTCAAATTATGCAAAAAACTGCGACTTATGTGGTGAAAAATATGGTAAATGCTAAAGTTAAAATCCTTATTTTGGATTACAACAAAAGTTATGGACAAGAAACATTTATTTTAGACATATTTATGGGCACTTTAGGTGTTTTGCTTACTTTGTAAAAAAAAATACTTGAAGTCAGGATTACACTTCATTTTTTACTGAGAGTTTTAGACGTATTCTTATAACTTCTATGTGTATGAAACAAAACAATTTATAGCAATGCCACAAACGAATAAGAATAAATAAAAATAAAGAAATTATGAAGCAATGGTAAATAAATAAAAACAAGTATAATGGCAAAAATCTGAATACTTGGATTCAAACCTGTCATTTTATTTAGCTGTTTACAGAAAGAGAGGACAACCAGCTGTTTGGTATTCTGCTCTACTTCTTATGAGTTTTTTTTCCTGACAGACACATCAAGGATGTAGCTCACCTGTGTTTGTAGAGGTAGAAGGCAAACCCAGAGAGGATGAGGGCAAAAAAGGGAACTAAGATGGCTGCTGCCACAGAACTGCTGTTTGTGTAAAGGTTTGATGGATCCATTGCCATGGTTACAGGACCTGCAGTCACACACATACGTAAAGAAAAACTACTCATACATAATCATAAAAAAACTGCAACACTAGCTTGTGCATGTGCTCTGGAGCCCTTCTGCATATGCAGTCTGCATTCTTGATTTCTTGTGGATGTTCTGAGATTACTTTTATTTCACGGCTATTTTTAAACAAAAACACTTCAACTCAAATCAACTATTTGTCGCATACACGATGTAGATAACACGGTGTGTTAGTGCTGACACGCTGACCCACCTTGTCTTGTCAGATGGAACTTCCCAAAATCTTTGCTGTGAATGTGCCCCTGATAAATAAAACTCTTCTGGTCTGACTCTGAAGTAACCTGCCAAGAGTAAAAAAATAAATAAAAAGAACATTCAGCAATTTAAATTTGAAACAGGATAAGAAAATATGGAGATAAAAAGAAATATATATATATGTATATGGCTAAAATCTGAATCAGCAAAAATGAGAACAGCTTAAAAAAAATTGAATAGTGGATTCTCCCCATAAAAAATAAGTTGCATATCCATTTTGTGTGTGCTGGTATTTACTGTACATAATACAGACAGCTGCTGCTTGTTTTACCAGATCTCTTTTGCAAAAGACTTGCTAAACAATAATAAACCAAAAAAAAAAAAAAAGATTAAATAAAATTAGCAATCACTCGATATGTGTTTGTCTGGATTTTTTTCCACTGTTGCCTTCATGCCTGCTCAAGATGAGAGTCTGCGATGGAGTTAAACTCTAAGCAGTCTCCTCCCCAGATAAATTAACTTATTTTTATATGAATATTTCTATTCAGTGCCCTGAGATGACTTATGTTGTGACTTGGCGCTATATAAATAAACTGAACTGAAAGTTTCACTGCCTATGAGGTCTATCTTATCCAGTGGATTAAAATATATTAGCTGCATTTAAAACTTTGCAGCACTAGTTTTACATAAAGTATCTTTTCACCTCCAATTATCCGCCTTACTCACCTGAGTCTATAGCTTGATCTCTACTGTCTCCTCCTTCTCTTCTTCCCTTTTTCACCTTCTAGCTATTCAAGCATCAATAACATTAACACGTTTAATTTAAGCTCCTGGCTAACAGACTGTATCCCCACATCACTACACCGTATTCTAGACATGAGCCTTATGGAGTGTTCACTTTAAATATAACACTGAGCTGCTGCAGAGAAAAAGAAAAGTCTCCAGGAGTAGATACATCACACAGAGCTGACTATTTCTTTCCATCACATCTCGTGAATTGAAACAGACCTAAAGAACATATTCATATGAAAAATATGATTTGTACACATGACTGAAAATTTATGAATGTACAAAGTACTCATACAACAATTCAACTATAAAATGCCTCAAGTTTGAGCCCGAAGGGGAGCTACATGCTGGAGCAATTTCTTGGTGAGAAGAATAACTTTCTTTGAGTCTCGGCTGCAGGTCTGGGCAACTCATGGTGACAAAAAGGCACATTCAATCTCTAAGTGCTGGCAGTGTGACAGGCATGCAATTGTTCAGACCACAGTCACCAGTAAAGTGACATCTTACACATTAGAGGACCATGATTTTCTTGTCAATACTGAGAAGAACAATAGGACAAAATGATCAATTTATACCAAGAAATATAAAGCATTGGGTTTTGAAAAATGTTAGAATTTCTAGGGAACTTGATGAGCCAGACCTCATCATTCTGTATGTAAAACTTGCAGAACGTGAAAACGTTTTTTTTTTTTTTTGAAAAAGTAGCATAGAAAAAACTGTAGACTTCAAGATCAAAAGGTTTCTTATTCGAACGTCTTATTAAACCAACAAAAAACAAATTGCATTTATCAGTCTAGAGCTTTAAAATATAGAAACAACAGCCTCAAACAGGGATAAAAAAAAATAAGCAGGTGCAACAGGTGTTTGTTTTCTTCAAACATATTACCTTCATAAACCTATTAAATCTAAAACACCTTTGCACCAAAACACACAACAAAACACCCAGTCAGAAGAGTTAACAGTAATATAATGTATCTACAAGAAAGTAAAGAGGAAACTAGCAGATGAGCTTGCAGAACCAATCCTAGTGGCCAACTGCTTCGACAGATTAGTTTATCCCTGCACACTTGGCTGAGTGTGGTTCACAGTGCTGGCTTCTTTAATCTTGCATTTTGCTAAATCATAATGGAAGTTAAGCAGAGTCATGCATGCAATCCAGTCCAGCAAAGTGTGTAGCTTTTAGAAGTATTTAGGACATTTTAATAATAACTTCACATTGGGTTGAACAGCTCAGCAAAGCCAGTTTCTCAGGTCAAAATGCAGCTGTCCACCTACAGCTCACAGATAAACAACTCTGGACAGAGATGATTTTTTTTTTTTTCCTGGAGCAGAAGACAGGTCACATTCTTTCTGCACGTAGGACAATAAAATTAATCTTGTATTACAATAAACTCTTCAATGTTTCTGTCTGCACCTATTTAGAACCTAATTGTTAGCATTTTTATATTCTCAGTTCTCTGTTATTTTTATATCTTGTGATTCTTGTGTATGTTCCTGTGTACTGAAACTGGCACAATAATTTCCTGCGGTATCAAAGTTCTAGCTTATCTTATCTTATCTTATATATTCTATCCAACATACAGATTTCCAGGACATTTTTACAACTGAGCAGACACGTGTATGACACACTTCACATGTTGATCAATAGGTAAACAGCTTTTGAGTGACAATGACCCAGGACAGATGGTCAGTCAGTGACACTTCTTTGTTCCTGCAGCATCCTGAAACACTTCAGTCATTAGAACTAATGAAGCCTTTAGGTTGAAAGATGAAACATCTTCTAACAGAGTCAAACTCATTGGTGTCAGAAGCATCTATGTGTGTGTGTGTGTGTGTGTGTGTGTGTGTGTGTGTGTGCGTGCACACACCCACCACCAGTGTGCAAAAAAAGTGTACACTAGTGAACAAAAAAAAGGCAACATCTCACCAAGATTTCTTTATTTATAAGGAGAAAGGGTTATAAGGGTTTTTATGGCGGTGCACAGAAAGTGCAGCGGCTTCTCATGCTCCCGGGTTTGAGCCTTATTTTAATTCATATGAGGCTGCTTTAGGCACTGGTTCAGTGCTGGATTCGCGGCTCGGGTACATCTCAACCGAGCTGATGGCCACCAGAGACAGTCTGGTTAAGTTCTGAAATCTGCACTCAGCAGTCAGCGGCTCCTGAGGACAATGGAACGTGCAGCAGTATGACGCAGTGAGGGAGAGGAGCAACGGTCAGGAAGAGGAGGGGGAAGCGGGGGGCGCGTTGGCCCAGCTAGAGGCTAGAGAAACCACTGATTCCTTGGTAACACTTTACAATAAGGTACAAAAATTGTGCTTAACTACTAGGGAATGCCTAAAGAACAAATCAGTAGATAATGGCTAGTTAACCTGTACTTACTGGGGAACATGCAGCCAAGCCTTATTAGGGGACTATTGGTTAGTTTCCTTGTAAATGAAGAGGAACCAATCAAGAACTAATGGGTAGTTACCAAGGAAAACAAAGAGGAACAAATCAGAAGCTAGTTAACTAGTACTTGCTGGGGAACACACAGACAAGTCTTATTAGGGGACTATTGGTTTGTTACCTTGTAAATGAATAGTAACTAATCAAGAACTAATGGGTAGTTACCAAGGAAACCAAAGAGGAACAAATCAGAAGCTAGTTAACTAGTACTTGCTGGGGAACACACAGACAAGTCTTATTAGGGGACTATTGGTTTGTTACCTTGTAAATGAAGAGGAACTAATCAAGAACTAATGGGTAGTTACCAAGAAAACCAAAGAGGAACGAATCAGGAGCTAATGGGTAATAAAACAAGTAATCACTAGCAAAGAAGTTTTTGACAATTATGAGCTGTGACCTCACTGGTGCAGGTTTTATTCAGAACCCACATGGATAACTTATCCTCTGTTTCTGTGGTAACAAACCAGTAGTCCCCTAATAAGGCTTGGCTGTGTTTTCCCCAGTAAGTATTGGTTAACTATCCATTAGCTTCTGATTCATTTTTCTTTGGTTTCCTTGGTAACTACCCATTAGTTCTTGATTAGTTCCTCTTCATTTACAAGGTAATTAACCAGTAGTCATTTAATAAGGCTTGGCTGTGTGTTCCCTAGTAAGTACAGGTTAACTACCCAGACTCTGTGTGTTCGTAAAAGAAGGAAGCTGCAGAGAGCTGGACTTGGGAGCTGGGAGGGCTCTGTCCTGAGGAGCTACCGCTGTGTGGCGGGGAGCACTCTCTGCACCTGCATCACCTTGTGGCACGGCAGATCCCCTTCGCTCAAGCAAGCTGCTGTGGCTATTCAGAGCAGCTGCCAGTGCTGAATTTGAGCTGCACTTAATTCATCCTCATCGTACATTTTTTAAAAACATTATTTATGTATGCGCATGTGTATATATTTATACTCTTTTGTATTTATTTGTTAATTGTTAGGCTTCCATATCTGGGACATGAGTCCAAATTTCGTACTGTTAACATACAATGTGAGCTGGTATGACAATAAAAATACTTGAATCCTTATTTTAATTCCACAAATTTAAAGCATGTTTCTCACCAAGTTTGAGGAAATTCAGCTGTGGCTTTTAAAGACATTTCAACTCTAATGTACTTTACCACACAGCCTCAGATTGGCACTATTTGTGTTTATAGTGAAATAAAAAAACAACATTACCACTAGACTTTTTTTTACTTGTGTTCAACACTGCTCATCTAAAGGATGTTTCTCATGAAGCTTGAGGACAATAAGATGTGGGGTTAAGGAATTTCAATTTTAATGCACCTTAACACACAGTTGTCTTACACTTCGCTTAATGCCAAGATAAGTTGCTACAGACGTAGCGCTCCACTTCTCTCAAGTATTCTAACAATTTATTTATGTTAATGATCCTAACCCCCTGGTCAACAACTGCCCATAATAAGCTTGCTAAACTGGCGAGCGAGCAACACAGAGGTGTCGCCACCTCCTCCACCTGTGTGTGTCCTGCCACGGCAGGAGACGCGGAGCAGAAACACTGCTGCAGTGGAGAGTTATAGGTAACCAGGAAAACCTGGAGTGGATTTTTAGTGGTTTGAATATTCTCCTACTAATCAAGTGGAATGGATTCATTCACAAAGAAATAGAAACGGCACCGACTGAACTACTGTTTCATGGTAAATGTGGGGGTCCCCTTCACATATAATGGTTGCGACGCTGCATTCTGTTCAAGCTGTTCAGATTGGTGTGAAACTATGCTAACTTAGAAATTGGATTTTAAGTGTTTTTAATATTTCTACTGGTTAATATAAAAAATACATTTTAATTTCAGGGAGAGAAGGTTTTTTTCCTTACGTATCCATCCATAGCCCAGTTGTCATTTTTAAACTTGCTGTAGTAATGCTCTGTCGGCCCCTTCACCTGGTAGACTTTTAACAGCAGCTGGTTTTCCTCTGACTTATAGGTACCTAAGGAGACAGAGACAGAAAATTTACATAAATATGCAAACACACTGATTAGTGCCTAAACCCTCCATAAATCTATAGCAAATTAACTTCTAATTTGCTTGAACCTTGCCAAGGCAGAAAAAAAAGGGAAAAGAGCTTAGATAGGGAGGTAAGGTGGAAAGCAAACTGACTGAGTGACAAACAGAGAAAAGGAGTCACCTTGACATTTTGAATGATCATGCTCTCTTTGCTTTACAAAGCATGTCACATTACTGGGGAGGAAGTGACATTCACCTACAGCTTTGTGCTTTTTTTATTGTTTACACAAAAAATAGTTTATCAGTGTGACAAATGCAGGTAAAACGTCACAAATTTAAATAAAAAGCATGTTGAAATTCTAATTTGATTGTAAAGCGTCATCAGTTTAGTGCACCCAGTAGTTACTTTTGTGTCATTGAAACTATATTTCTCCAGTAGACATAAATACAAACTACATCATGTACACTTGATCCCTGCTGGAGGTTATGTCGTCAAGGTTACAATTTCCTTCTGGCATTGGTGAAGAGTGGAACAGATATACAGCTTCTAAATAAATTCCATCAATGCCACCGTTTGTCAGCTGCTGCATGGTGGAAAAGGAGCAAATACTGATCATTCTTTAGAGTTGGTTTATTCAGTTACATTTGTCAGAGAGAGAGAGAAAAATACTTCATCATTCAGATAAAACCAAATGCATTTTTTGACCAAGGCAACTATGTTTCTTTTGAGCATTTATAATTGTCTTTAGTGTGGAGAAAAAAAAAAGAAAAACATCACTGAAAGACAAAACTCTAAGAACTGCTTAAATGTTGATGTCTAAACTCATTGATGCATCACAATGAGGTTCTCACCACTTAAAAATCTACAAACACAGACTCACCTACACTAAAATAAGCATGTGCAAGACATACTTTTAGATTTTTGTTGTTTATTTTTACTGATTTTGCTTGAGCAGTTTGCAGGGGGGGGGGGGGGTTATGAATAAAAAGCAAAATTAAAAATTTAAATTAACATGAAATCACTGAGAAGGTCACTTCTAAAAGTCAAGTGATTGATGTAGGCGAGCATGTTAAACCAAAATTGGGGTACTTCTACAGGAGTAAACCACACTTTCCTCTGTATTTTAGGAAAAAATAAAATAAAAAATCAGTTTCCACAGCACATTTTTAGCATTTCATTATGGAGTCACTTTACACATGCAGACCTCAGCTACCAGTCTCAAACCCTGAGTTGTTATTTATGACTATGTACTAAAATTTATTACCAGTGAAATTTATAGAACACATCATTTTGCATTGTAATCTTAAGGTTGGGTAGTCATGTGATAGTGCATTTTATTGATCTAATAGGCGTCACTCCTGTTTCTTCTCCTTACATTCGTTTATTCTATCGTTCCTTTCAGGCGCTTATAGCAAACTTGTACTAGAATCCACTTGTTTTTAATGAACATGCAAATCACAGCTTTATTTTCTGTGCACCTGCAAACTAGAAGAACAAACAGAACAATGTAATGTTATTTATTTATTTATTTATTTATTTTAAACAATTAAGGTAATCAGACTTTTCTCAGAAGATATTTTAATATTAGTTAGATTTGGTCCATTTTTTATTATTATTATTTTTTTTCAGTTTCTTATTTGTGTTCCTACATTTGATAGATTTTTTAAAGCATTAACGAGGTTGCCAGATTCCAGTTAAATGAATGAACAAATCTTTCGCTTTCTCAGAGTTCACTCTCATTTGTATGCTCCACAATAGTTTCTTACAAGCAATCTGTCAGAGATTATAAATATGCACGGACAGGGGTTCTCAAACTGGGGTCCCTGGACTCCCTGGGATCCGACCACCAAAAATTCGT